TGCGTCATTCACAAAATTAAACAAAAAAACAATTAGAGTTGATGATATTCTTTCCTTAATGTAAAAAGAAAGGGAAAAAAACAAGCATGGATATCTAGGTTTTTATGTTGGAGTAGGTGCTTACTTTTAGTGCAAGCATGACATCTTCAGTTTTTTTTTATTTTTATAATTCAAGTATTTTAAATAAAATTATTTAAATATTGTTTAAATAAGTATTAGAAATATTAGCAATTAATTTCTTAAAAGGTATATATAAACCTAATATACATAATTTTCTAAAAGCATATGAAGTATTTATGATTTATTACTTTAATATAGTTTTATTTAATTCTCTCAATACTATTTGTTATGTCTTTTTAATACATTGGCATTAAAACTTTGCTTTTAAATATATTGTTTTATGAAAATGTGTTCGCAATAGCAGGACATTCTTCTCTTGAGTACAGTTAAAGAGTCTTGGCCGGTTTTATGGAGCAGAAGATGTGAAGTTCGCTCATCATTTAGCAACTTTTCGTTCGATGTCTTCAATCCCAAAAATTCCCAGAAAAGGTCATGTTCATAGATAAAGATGAATATAACAACGAATTTTGAGGAAGTTTAATTGATTAGACAGATAAAATACATGATCCACAACTCTTGTCTATTCCTATAAAATTCCTAACTTTTTTTTTTTCATATAGAGCATTAATCATCACATATTCATGGTTATCACCATCCTTAATAATTAATTTTCCAAAAGGGATTCAAACGCAGGATGCTCATCAGGCCTTCATTGCTGTGAAGCATGTTCATAAACGAAGAATTATTCCTTTTTTCTTTGGCTTTCCATTTGTGTGAGAGTTGTCTATGTATAGACATTTAACAAAACAACAAGAGAAGGTAGACAGGAAAAACTATGGAGTTATACAGTTTGTAAGCGACAGTTGTGTAACAATCCGTGGATTTCTTTCGCAGAAGCTTAGTTGAAATCCCTGTTGTTGAAGTACAAGTAGGTTTCTTTACCAGAATCTGGGGCTACAGGCATTGCAGAAAACCCACTGTAGTCCATCTTGGCTTTAGTTCTGCATATTTCGGCAACATATTTGAAGAGCTGATGTTCTTTGTTATAAGGTTGGTTCACATAGTCTTCAATTGGCATCCACTGAGAGAAAAATACAATCGAGAAAAGCAAAATGAAACAAAGCTAAGGTGGGCACCGAGAAACTATTGAATCTAGGCATGACCTAACCCAGAGGATCATTTTTTTTACATAAAATCAAGTAACTACCAGAGTAAAATACCTGAGCTGCCTCGAGCTCTAAATCTTGCTTCTGGATGTCAAAAGAGCGTGGCCTTAGCATGCAAATGAAAAATAGATCTGATTTGCTAAAGAATGATCGGTGGCTTTGTCTGCGAGCGAACAACAGAGATGAAATTATGAAGGTACGGAATTGAAGTGGAAAAAAAAAGAGAGATTATGCTGAGAAAGAATGGAATTCTTCTGTCGAATGAAGCATGGAAGACTATCTGTATTCCTTGTATAGCACCAATGCCTGGAAACAATTTATGCATGATGAACTAGTCTATTCATTACAAAGCAGACATCTCACCTGAATGCTAAAACTTCCATAAATTCTGTGTCAATCTGATACAGGATGAAAACCAGAGACCTTAGATTTAGAATAGAAAATAAGAAAATAAGAAGCTAAAGATATTTCACCATGTTGCTCACATTTTTAAGTCTGAAAGAGTGCAGATTGATTACTTACTCCTGTCTCTTCCTTAACTTCTCGAATTGAAGCTGAAGGAATATCCTCACCCTGTAGATGGAAATTTTTAATTTACGAGGTAGAACATTGTAAAAGACAACAACTACAGCCTGCAGGGATTGAAAATGCTTGCAATCCTGCTCACCTCATTAACCACCCCGGTAGGTAGCTTCCATACACCTGTGCCTTTAAATCCTCCACTATTCTCCTTGACTACAAGAACCTACTCGTAAACAAATTATAGAATTCAATGCCATCAAAACTTATCCAAAGAGAAGGTGGAAAGATTGAAAATAATTATCGAATACCTCTCCATTACTATTCAATACAAAAGCCCCAACCCCTACAC